GAACTCATAATGCAGAAACAACATGAAGAGAGGCGAAAAATACCAGAGGGACATTCAAACTCACAAGTCGAAAACAAACTGACAACGCCATGGCTAAAAAAGAAAAAGACAAACAGACAAACAATAGTACACAAAACACAACATAAAAAACTAAAGACTGAGCAACATGAATGTTTGATACGAATTTCAGTCGATAAGAGAAAGAACAGAGCACGCAAAGAAGTAACGAAAAACCGAAAGTACAAGTACGAAAAGGGAAACAAACAGTATTGTACGTAAACGGTGCAAGATAACAACATAACCCCCCTCCCCCGAATAAAAAAAAAACAAGATTTCCAGAGGTAAATAGGCCTATACTGTTTTCAACAATAGTATTTATGTACAAAATATGTATGTATTGCTCTAAACCGTCCCGAGTTTAAAAAAGTAGCAACTACCTTCAATAGATACTATCAAAGAGCTGACATCAACAAAAAATCCCCAAAAGAACAACAAAAAACAACTTAAATAGAAAATGATGTCATTCATTGATGAGCTTCCTGACTTGTTATAGACACATACTCTGTTTCTCTTAGTTCTCAACCTTTCGCTTTTAATAATCTCATTTATTGGAATAACAAACGCTAAATAGAAGAACGTACAATAAAAATCAGTTCAAGAAAAGCACTTAACTCTATAATCCGGTAAAATTTAAAAAGAGCAAGCACAAGTAAACAATCATCAAAGTACCACGATTATCTTTCAGTAATAAAAAAAACCCAGTAAGTAATGCTTGCAATTTGTCCTGTCAATGTACCAAGAATTCAAAGTTTAAGTTCGGCTTGTTAAGATGAGCAATTGCTTTGTAAATAACATTGCTATCCGTTAGAAATAAGATTTCTGCAAAATAACCAATTACAATTTTAAACAATACTGTGGTAAAAAGTAATGACATTAACTAAAACTGGAAGAATAGGATCAAACATGTTTTCCTTTCTCAAATTTCACCAGGTAACAATACAACAGGTATTATTATTTCACGGACTTTTAATGTTTGTACTTTTTTTGCGTTAATGTAAGTTTTGTCACCGTAAAAAAAGGGTCATTATACTCTCCTATACTTAGATTGGTATAATAAATAACATCATGTTAAAAATGTCACTTAACAAAGGCGAAAACAGCTTTTTATATACAATTGTATTTTAACCTTAACCTTAACACAAGATTGACTATTGTTAAAAACAGTTTTTCTCTTTGTTAATGACAATTTTTGTCTAATTTAATAAAGAGCACAATAAAACAGTGTGGTCAATTACCTACACATTCCATACATATTAGGGACGAGGACAGCGCTTCACAACAGCTTTTTCCTTTAATCATTACGTCATGCCATTTACTTGTTGTTTTGAAGTTTATGATAAAAATAAGAAGATGTGGTATGTTTGTCTATGAGACGACTTTCCATCAGAGACCAAATGACGTAGGTACAAGTTAGCAACTGTAGGTCAACGTACGACCTTCAACAATAATAACCGTACCGCATATCAAGATATAAAAGACCCTGACAGGGCAAATGTAAAACAATTCAAACGAGAAAACTACCGACCTAATTTATGTACAAAACAATAAACATAAACAAAAAAACAAATATGATGTACACCATAATTAACCTGGGACAATGGTGTTACACCACAATGTAACAACAAATTATAGATATCAGTTGAAAAGGCTTCATTCACTCAGTCATCAGATCGACACAAAGTACACAAAATACAACTAACAAAAAGACTTAAGATACAAAGTATCGATCTGAGAGTACTCGCAATTCCTGAAAGCTAGTTCAAAGCCAATAGCAACTATGTATCCAAGGCTAAAAAATCAATCAATACACATCCAATTGATTTAGTGTAAAGGCGTTATAAACAGAAAAGCAGGATATTTTGCAATGCCAAAATATATAAGTATCTACAGAATGTAGCACCGATAATTTTCGTAGCTATATACAGCTATACGCAGTTATGTTTTAGATTTAATTTAATTTTAGACATAGAACATAGTTTTACTATAATTTGTTATTTAATCTTTCCCCTTATTTTTTGTTGTTGTTTTAGGGGTAACAATTATTTTTGCATGTGTTTACGTACGTGTCTGTCGAAATGCGGCGTTCACACATAGCCGATTATGGCTCCCGATTCGGTCGTTTTTTAACATGCGACAGATACGAATCGGGTCAGAATCGGACTGAGAACGGGAAAATAGTGACAAATTCGATTGGAAACGGTTGAATCAAGACGCTTCATGAACAATATCTGATTGTTGTCGTGATTAAATAAATATTTTTTACATTTTTTTATTAGTACCCAAGAATCACAGATCAGCTTTTGACAAATTCCAGTCAGTGGTTGATGATGTTTTCAAGTTTTTTTTTGTCTTTTATAATTGTGTGTTGGGATCAAATATGTGTCCGTATTTCTTATTTTTTTTTTAATATTTATATAGTAGAACGGAAAAGGTTTTTTCTTTATATTCAATTTATGATCTATGTCAATCTGTGCTGATCTCTACATGTTTACTAGTTAAACTATATGTTTATTCTTTTTTGTTTGGTTGCTGTATTGACGTTTACCTCAAATCCCCTTTTAGAATCTATAAATAAAGGCAACAGTAGTATACCGCTGTTCTAAATAAGAGATGAAGTATATCTGAAGATAACATTTGATATCTAAAAAAATTATCCAAGAAATGAACACCCCGGAATTATTTTGACAAAATGGATTTTCAATCGGCTCCTACTCTGTGTTGTGCATGCTATTTTACCGTTATATATAAACAATTTAATACTGATAAATCGAGATTTCCAAATATATAGCTTAAATGCATGCAGATCAAGGTTACAGGACAGCGTAATTTACAATGTGTAGGTAATATCTGTTATAATTGATTTAAACTTCATAAATTGATTATTTGAGGAATAAATAGCTCTGTTTTACATTTTATCGATTCCAATCGTGCTTCGAGTATATAAAACATTAAATGATATACAGATAAAATCTTTCTATTTTTGTGATTGATGGTATATTTTAGAATTGTCGTAAGTCAGAATGATTCGCTCAATGATCTATAAAACATATATATATAGTTTCTGTTTGATTTGAAACTGTTATTCAGGCTTGTATTGAATGCAATGATACAACAAATGAAGAGAAGATGAAGAAAAAGTAGAAGACAGAGACATTTGAAACCATATTTGACATTCGTCCTTTTGTCAATTCTCGAAGGATTTAAGCATATGTATGTTCAAACGTCTGTTCTGTCTTGTACTTGTACTTGTGTGTTTGTTTTCTGTTCAACCAGTATTTAAAATTTAAGTGTTACACTCACTTTTATTGTATTTTTGTTTGTGTACCTCGATATCAAAAGGAGGAGGGTGACGATATTGAAGGGCTAGTTAATCCCGCTTCATTTCAAATGCTTGACAGAAGGTAAACTATCTTCATGCATTCATAATTACATATTCTGTTGAGAATGATTTGGCTCGGATTTGATAGGAAATATGATAATTAAACCATTCTATTAAGGGACCAAAGATATACTACTGTAAAGTTATACAAAACTCATCAAGAATATATATTCAAGACTAATTTACTCCATTGTATATTCTTCTATACTGCTTTGATAAAAAGGATAATATATATATAGTGTTTAGTTATACTGAACAGAAGAATAGATGTTCATTCCTGTACACTTAAAAATACTTCGTGTATTGTGATTAGTCGTCCTTGTTTAATACCTACGAGAAAGTAACACCTCCCAAAACGAAAGCTGATTTTTTTATCAGCTACAGTTAAAGGGGGGATAAGGCGTCTGCGCAGTGCTAGTCAGTTTTGTTGTAGAAGTTAGAAGTGAATTACTACAGGTTCCAGCCCCGGTCGGGGAGGAGGTAAAGAATCAGATCTACTCTAACATTGTTATGTTGATTTTCTAGGCACTTAATAATATATATATAATCTAGTTTTTTTATATTAATTAGAAAAAATTAATAGCTTGTCAAAAGATATGACATTCAGTATATATTTTAAGTAATACAGTTATACACCGTATTATTATTTACGTAAAAATGAGGTTAACAAGCTATACGGTTCAGCGGAGTGTACGATCAGTTTGAAAATTTACTTGAAAACGTTATTTTCCGAATACTAAAGTTCCTTCAAAAGACCTCTTGCTGTATGACTGAAAATTGTGGGAAGATAAAATTATAAAAGTTCTCTCAACTTGGATTCATAGAGTGTAAGCTTGAAACCATTTAATCGATCATAGTTGTATATACGTGTCTCGATCTACAGTGTCAATAAGAACAAAATTTCCTGTGGAGACAGGTTATACTGTTAATGTATATCTTTGTGTTGGAATATAGAGAGACCATTGCCTTTCATTTTACACGAACGTTTGATAATTCTTAATTAAACAATTAGACACTTTTAAATATATCATCTAAAACCGTATAGAAAGTTATGTTTCGGGTTGTTCGATATTGTAGTATAAGAAAACATCAATAATGGTAGATTTTGAAGGACTATTATTAGAAGTTTAAACTCTAAATGCACGATCTGATAAACGAAATAAAAAATACAATTAACAGAAACAGAGAGGTAACCGAGGTGTGTGGATTTGAATTTTATTCACTGTTGTGATTCACATTATAATCCTAATCCTATTAGATTCAGATGAAATAGTATAACGATATAATTAAACAATACAACACGTGCACAGTAAGTAAAACAACATCTGGGAATTTAGGATTACATCGAACAGAAATTTGATAAAACTATTAGATATTACTAAATGTATAAGATACCTTCGTGATCTTTGTTCAAGCTGGTGTCACTTTCTTCATAGTATAATGCAGAAAAGTATGTTAGTATACAGCCATACTGGCACAAAACGTATTTGATTCAAGGAATTAATGAAATTTTTAAAAGATGGAATTTTCAAACAATAGTGATTGGAACTTCAGTGACGTGAAAAATTCAACAAATGTAACATTTAACGATGAATCGCTGATGACATACGAAACCGTGATCGCATCTTTCTTGACAGTTTCGACCGTATTCTCCTGGATATCAAACCTGAGTATCATTGTTGTATTTTTGAAGTTCTCATGTCTCAGGACAAAACATGATGTATTAGTTATCAACCTTGCGTTTACCAATTTGACCATTGCTACTGGAATAGCATTTTTTTCAACGTACACGTTAAATCCTGGAAATATATTTCATATGAAATTCGTGTGTATGAGCCTTTTCATGTTGATATTTGGTGGAATATTAACGTCCTTACTTGTGCTTCTTTGTCTTGCTTTAGAGAGATACCTCTGTATTGTTCATCCGTTAATCTACAGTCGAATTCGAAATCGCCACGTAGTTATAAGTAGCATCTTAGCATACATTATTGGCATCATTTACATAGTTTTACCATTCAATTTCAAAAACAAATGGGAGCATTATCATCTTTGTGTTGTTGACGTTTTTCCTTTCGAATTCAGTATCGCAGAGCAAGTTATTGGTGTGCTGATAATAGCATCCATTATTGTGATTAACTCTGTTGTTTTCAAGACGGCACTTTCACAAGCAGCTAGAATAAAAACACTTCTTAAGAATATTCAAAATAAACACACGAAAACGCGTAGAAGACAAAAAGGAAAAGCTTTTGTGACTGTTTTCCTGTTATCTGGAATTTCAGCTATATGTTGGATTCCATTATTAGTAGTTTTTGGATTAGAATCCGATCCTGATTTGAGTGAAGCGTATAGATGGATACTCACGCAACTACTGTATGTCCCGGTGTCTCTGAACTCTTCAGTCACGGCTGTTATTATAGGATATAGAAACAGACATTTTAGGGATGCTATAAAATCCTTTTTTTGCAAACGTCAGCATGAGTGCTTTGGAGTAAACGGAACCAACGTAACGATTTATGTCTGATCAGTTAAATGTTTTCTTTTACTGAAATTGGTAGATTTTAGTTTACCATTGGATTAGAATCTGATCCTGATTTGAGTCGTAACTATTTATGTCTGATAAGTTAAATGTTTTCTTTGACTTATATTGGTAGATTTTAATTTACCATGCTATCTGAAGTATATATACTGGGACACACGGATATAAAGCACTATTATATTGTTCAATTGTCTTCAACCCCTCTGGGTATCAATGTGAAACTATGTTGATGTGTGTAGGTTTAACAAAAGATATGGCAACATGTGCCACATTTTGTACACAAGTTTTGATTGATATACAAAGAATTGCTGTTGATTACTCTGTTGGCAGGGGTAACAAAAATGTTTTTAGACCCAAAAATAGTCTGGTGACCCATATATTTATTTTTATTATTCTAAAGCTTATTGTTTTGACTCTCAGATGTGAAATTAAAAAAAAAAATCAATGAACCAATTATTTGGAAATTTAAGAAAAAAATCTGTGTTTTTTGTGTGCAGCAATGTCAACGAGACTGGAGCGGGATTTAATAAATATGTATAAAACTACCATTATTTGTGTTTTATTTACATTTTAATCATTATTTTTGTGATAAATGAAGAACAAACCTTTCAAAATACTTTCAAAGGCTTGAAAAAAATCCAGATTTTTTACTTCAGGTATGCATTTATTCATACATGTGGTGCACCAACTTTGGTGATCGTTACCATGGAAACGAATCTATTAACATGATTTTTTCAACTCAAATTTTTATAGAGGCCATTGCATAGTATATGTATGCAAATTCAACGTTGGAAAAAAATGCTATATCTGTAGGGATCCACATTAAGACATCGAACAAGAAAGCAATATATGATACATAATATATTATATACATATATATATTTAATTTTTTTTCTTTCTAAACTTGAAAAGAATGCCTATAGAGTGGATATGATACATAAAAAAAGTAAGTCTCTTGTAACGAATTCTTCATAAGAAATAAAACTGTCTTTCTCCATTTATTATTTTCTGTTCGTACACTGACCGACCTGTCCTTGTGAAAGGACAACTTGCCGGTCATTAGGACACATAGAGTACTTTTCACATAAATACTGAACAATTTATGGCTAAAATATAATTCCGGACAGCAATAGGGCATGGTTAGAAAAACCCGGAACATTCAAATTTGGACAATTGAATACAGGTTTTTTATGCAATGAAACAAAAGTTTTGAAAGATTGGGGAGGGGGCCTAGAGAAAGATTATTTTCGCTAATATCAAATCATAGGACTTTCCCTCCAGTCTTCATTCAGATTTTGTTTATTGTCGATTTAATTATATTTTTGATAAAATATAAGATTGCAAACTCATTAACTATATTGATTTCATTTAGTATCACACACAGTAAGCCATCAAATCTCAACAACAAAAAAATGACTTTACATGTATGTTATACTTTACATGTATGTTATACTTTACATGTATGTTATTATAATATACTTTACATGTATGTTATACTTTACATGACTTTTAGTTATTATATCAAGGACAGTAGGTAGAAGTTTCATCAATTTATTGTAAAATTGTAATGTTTTGGTGAAATTAAAGAATGTAACGCCATAAATAAATGCGAATTCAAACTGTTCTTTCTTTTCTTAGTGTGATACTCCTTAAATTCATAATCATAACTTATCTACTACATACTTTTATTCCATCAATGTGAATATTATAATAGAAAAACAAAGGATATGGGGTATCCATCTATGTCACAAAATCAGTACATGCACAGCAAAAAAAAACACACAAAAGGAACAGCGCTTGTATTGCTGGTCTTCATCTCAAAGTCACAGTGAGGCCTTCAACACGGAGCAAAAAAAAACAAAAAACAAAAAAACAAAAAAACTCTCTCCTCACTGCAACTTTAAACGGCCCCTAGTTATCATTAAACTATTTGCTCTTAAGAATACTTGCCTGTACCTACATAACTTGTAGACAAATACAGGATTCATTTTTAAACTGAAATGGTCCTTTAAATGTACGTCGAACAAAAAAGCAATATACATATAGTTATCTAAGTTTATTTCATTTTAAACTTGAAAATAAGGGCTATAGAGTGAATTTAGAACATACGAGAAAAAGCAAGTTACACAATTGTCTTATCTGTTTCTTGTAACGAAAACGTCAGAAGAAAAATCGTCTTTCTCCATTTATCATTTTCTATCCGTACACTGGCCGACTTGTCATTTTGAAAGGACAAGATACCGAGCATTAGGTCAGTTATAGTACTTTTACGGAAGCCCAGAGGGGACCTACAAAAATATAATATTATATCGTTATCTCAATATATATATCGTTATTTCGATATAATTAAATCGTTATCTCTATATTTATATCGTTATATCGTTATATCCATATATTTATTTCGTTATCTCAATATATATATCGTTATTTCGATATAATTAAATCGTTATCTCGTTATCTCGATATTTATATCGTTATATCGATATATTTATTTCGTTATCTCGATATAATTATATCATTTTCTCGATATAATTATGTCGTTATCTCGATATCATTATATAGTTAAGGTGGGGTTATGGCACCTTTTTTCAAATAACTCAAAAACTTCTACAGATATCAAAATTTAGCAGAGAGTAAAATTGATCAATACATTATGATCTGCCTTTGTCGAAATTTAAGTTTAGGTTGATCGGAAAATTCGTTTCAGAGCTATGGCCCTTTATTTGCATTTTTTCTCATTTTTTTTTATAATTTTGACAATATTTTTAAAAGCTAGAGCCTTTTTTTATTATTATTATTCCAAAATATTTCCTGTTTACGCTTACCTAAGTCGTCCAGGTTACAGATTAAGGTTCCCGGTTTACAAAAATGCCATCTATACAGGGGCAATAGAAAGCTAACAAAGTCCATTTTAACCTTTATTAAACATTAAGTTTTAAATGTCTTAGGCTAGCTTGAACTAGTATATATATATCTTTAATATACACAAGATCGTAATAAATGAGATGTAGTAAGAGAATTAATAAGACAACTCTTTCCTGGGACAAATTGGCGTTATTGTAATAAAAAAAATGTACACAGGAAAATATAAATATAATGGTTTTGTCGTTAGGAGTTACTGTAACTGTCAATTGATCCTCCAGTGATTTAGCAAACACTCCCCGATAGTTGTCCGACCTCTTGTATATTACAGATATATATACTATTTCAAGCGTGTCTGGGACCTATATTGAAAATCGGCAGTTCTACGCATTTTCGCGTCAGCTACAGATTGATACAAAACTTTAACAACATTACATTTTTGCACCGGCAATTCGATCGGCTTTCCTGGTCTGTCGCTTTCTTCTTTTCGTTCCGATTATGCATGAAATATTTGCGACTGGACGTTAAGCAAACATCAATCAATGTAAACAGATATTGACATATCAAGCAAGCGGATCAAACTGCCAGCGCAAAAAAAATAAGCCTGTTTAATGTCTTTCAAGGTTTGTCATCCATCTGAAGCGCGCGAAATGAAGAATGTTCGATTAATCCCCCAGTGATGTTAGCCGGTGCTGACCGATAGTTATTCGACCTCGGTAAATAGGTGCAAATTATGAGATGTTTCATAGCATAACTTTTTTATTATTACATGTAAAATGTCGGTTTATGGCTCGTTTTAAAGAAAATGGAATATACCTTTAAAAATTTTAAGATGTTGATTCAGACAATTTAATTGAGGTCTGGAGCTTGCATGTCAGTAACTGCTAGTATTCTTTTGTTAGTTTATGTATCATTGTCATTTTATTTAGTTTCTTTTGTTACCTATTCGGACATCGGACTCGGACTTCTTTTAAACTGTGTTTTACTGTGCGTATTGCTGTGTGTTTGTTTTTTCTACATTGACTAAAGGTATAGGGGGGGGGATTGAGAATCCACAAAACATCCTTTAACCCCGCCACATTTTTGCGCCTGTCCCAATACAGGAGCCTCTGGCCTTTGCTAGTCTTGTATGATTTTTAATTTAAGTTTCTATTATACATTTCGGAGTTTAGTTTGACGTCCAATATCACTGAACTAGTATACATTTTTGTTTAGGGGCCAGCTGAAGCACTCCTCCGGGTGCGGGATTTTCTCGCTGTATTGAAGACACGTTGGTGGCTTTCAGTTGTTTTCTGCTCTTTGGTCGGGTTGTTGTCTCTTTGACACATTCCCCATTTCCATTCTCAATTTAATTATACATAAATAAAATACAACGGGAAAACGAAGACCATATTCTTGATTTATCGAGTTACTGACCTTGTGTATATTATAAAAAAGAAAAAAATGTTCAAGCAAACCTGGGGCCTATAGTTTTCAATAAATAAGCAAAAATATGCGAAATCTGCAAATTTTGGTATTTTAAGAGAAGCAAAATCTGAAAGTTTTGCCCACAAGACTTTATTGTAGCTCTTAATGATCTGAACGATTTCCAATTTAAACTAAGGCTCTAGCTTTTAATCTAAAATTTGAATTGAATGGATTTGATTTGATCGATAAAAACAAATAAGAAACAGTATAATTTTGAAAATTTAGGCGAAATGTATTTCTTACTCTAAAAGAAGCATATAAATATATGAAGTGTTGTATATGTATATATATTTTAAAATATACGACGAGGAAAAGTAACATCCGGCCACCGAAAGCTTTATTATTTTAGAGCCTAGGTGGTCGAGTGGTCTAGCGCGTCGGGCAAAGTGCAAGGCGATTTGGTGCCACGATATATTAGGAGCTCGAATCCCGGCGAAGGAAGAACAAAAAATTTGCGAAACAAATTTACAGACCTAACATTGTTGGGCTGATGTTTAGACGTATTTTAGAATATATAGAGAACATCATATGGCTTTTTCAATATCACATCCGTATCAACCCGAGACAGCAATATAATCCCAAGAGCTCTGCTCGAGGGATTATATTGGTTGAGGGTTGATATGGTGTGTGATATTGAAAAAGCCATATCATATACACTTTATTATATACATATACCTCACGTAGATGTGTTTAATGTGACATGACGTCATACAGATAAGGGGGGTTGAAATGACGTCATACAGATTAGAGGTTTGACATGACGTCATACAGATTAGGGGTTTGATTAAGCCTTTGCAACAGTGACTGCAATCGATGACGTGACGTCATATAAATTAAAGGTGTGATAAAGCCTTTGCAACCGTGCTGATATCGATATCATCACGGGTGGCTGATACAGCACGCTTGCCAATGATTGTATTACACATACAATTTATCTGTATTTACTACTAAGTATATAATAAATATACATATACAACACTGCATATATTTATATACTTCTTTTAGAGTAAGACATACATTTCTCCTAAATTTTCACAATTACTTTCTATATTTCCATATCTACTACCAATGAAAGCCTTTATATAATTATCATGCTTTTATATGTTTTTGATATTGTATGCGCTTATCATTATGCATAGGGAACTATGTATTTCTTAAACTCAATGCTAAATAAAGATTGAAGTGGACTTTGATAGCTTTCTATTGCTCCTGGAT